GATGTGGATATATTTGTTTTTTACTTTCAATTTTTCAATATGTTTTTTAATTTTTTTCTTGTAGTCATTGTTAAAGCTACAAATGGACCAAGATACGTCGTGGGTTGTCGTAGACAGGTAATACTTTACATTTGTATAGTGCATTATAATTGACAAAAGAGCTCTCATATAAGTTATTGTGTCTAATTCTTGAGGTAAGCAGAATTACAGCATTATGCCTGTAATTCCCAAGTGTGGTTTGTTCAGACGCAGCTAATTCAAACCATGGACTTTGACTCCTTGTATTCCCTACTTTCTACTATATTGCATTGCAGATAAGTCAGATTTACCCACTTAGAAATCCAAGTATTTTTAGAACTGGGAAATAGGTCAATTTATTTATTTATTTTTTAGAGACAGGATCTCATTCCATTGTCCAGGCTGGAGTACAGCAGTGTGATTATAGCTCACTGCAACCTTGAACTCCTGTGATCAAATGATACTTCCACCTCAGCCTCCCGAGTAGCTGGAACAACAGACATGCACTACCATGCCTGGCTAATTTGTTAATTTTTTTGTAGAGATGGAATATCACTATGTTCCCCAGGCTGGTCTCAAATTCTCGGCCTCAAGATCCTCCCTCCTCTGCCTTCCACAGTGTTGGAATTACAGGAATCAGCCACCGTACCTAGCCTTAGATCATTTTATTCTAATGTGTTTTTGTCAGAGGACTTGAAAATGTTAGATGCTATCATTTACCTGTGTTTATATTTAAACATTCAGAAATGTTGCTTGTAAATTGTACTATGGCCTAAGTTAATTTTGTGTGACATCATTTAGATTAGACTAGGCAAATTGAAATAACTCTAAATTTCATATTACAGTTATTAAAAATGCCAAAAAAGGCTTCAAATCATTAAGTAGTGTCTGAAACGAATTTATATACTATTGTTTAGAAAGTGTCCTTAGGTAGAACATTCTTATAAATTCATTGAAAGAGCTTTCTCAGAGTATTTGTTAATTCACGTTCACATTTTAAAACGTTGATATAACATAGCTGTAGAGTGGAATTTAACCCAGGGACTAATCCTAATCTTAGGATTTTGCCTAGTGTGTAAGTGGTTGACATTTTCCAAGTCCGAATATCAGGTGCCTAATCTGACAAGGGATTTTTATGTTCTTCCAGGGCTCTCTCAATGCTAAAATTGGCATTTCTTGTTCATATCTATTGTTAGGTTAAAAAAAAAAAAGTAAAGTTGGCATTTTTGAGATATTTCATGGTTGTATGAGGGCAAGCGAATATTTGAAAACTGGAAAATATTAGAAAGACCAAAAAGTATATATATAGGTTAAGTATCCTGTATATGAAATGATTGGGCCAGAAATCTTTAAGATTTTGGCTTTTTTCAGA